AGAGGCTACCTTGTTCCCAATTAAACCCTATATTCATTTGGAGTTATACTAAGTATATGAGTTAAATAAAAGTAAAACTCCTATAGGTTATTTTTTACATTCTAGTGAATAACTAAGAAATGTTAATGTATTTCATGATTATAAGCAAAGATGGATAGTGGCTAGCAGTGGAATCCAGTTTGACGCGCGTTTCGTTCTATTTGGGACTCGTCAGCTGGATGTACCTGCATCTCAGACTTGTTGATGTTCACTCTGGGACTCGAACCCAGTACCGTTCGCTTCAAACGCCATCGCGTTATCCACTTAGCTACTGAATCCTGATAGCTACTTGCATATGCAATGGGGTGAAGTTTGATTCATGATTTCCCATGGAGGAACTCGAGAAAATTCTTTTACTGATTAAAAACTTTGAAATCATAAGTAATAAGTTCAAATTTCGCTCGCTGAACCGCCGTCTGATTTCAAAAGAAAATTAAATGACTAATCGTTATAAGAAATACGTGAATGACGTTCAAATAGTCTAATTTGTACACATAAAGTTAGGTTAAGGCCGCAAATGGCAGTTGCTTCTATTTAACATAGGATTGGTGAGTTACTCTGTTCACTAATCACTCAAAAGGATGCACAAGGATCTACTAAATAATCTTTCTCCATCATATATCTTCACATGATATTGTTGTATAGGTTGGAGTTGTTCAAGATCACGTTCTTTGTAATGGGTTCTGAGATCCTCGTAGATAATATCCTTTCTGTTCTTTTAACGTACCTGATACTATAAGTACATGTATATAGGTAGATATAACCAGGGGTAGCTTAGTGATGTATAAATAGTATGAGTAGTCTTTTTGTTTCATGTGTTATTGTCAAATTGGCAGTAGGAAAGGTCATTGTAACAGTGGGCCATGGTCGATACCTACTCTGTGCACTAAAGTCATCACATTTTGATGAAATTCAGACAAGCACGTTTGTATTAAGGACTGTAACGACCAAAAATCAAATATTCGGTATAAACTTATAAATTGATTGAATAAAATCAAGGTCAGCTTGATTGAACGAAACCACTGCATTCTTTCTCTTACGATACAAAGCTTACATGAGTCACTTACAGTCAACTATTATATCAAGGAATCATTTTATACGTACTTCTTTATGGTATTAAATAACAGTAACAGATTTTGTCTAAAATAAGAATTACAATTATTAAGCATCTGAGAATTAACAAGGATATTCTCAACAGAATGAACATCAACTCTAAGAGCCAGGTACATCCAGATGGCGTGTCTCAAATAGGACGTAACAAGCTTCCTGAATTCCATTGTTAAACACTATCCATCTCTGCTTAAGATGCTAGTAACTTCCCGGCAAAATTGAGGCAATCCATATAGAATGTACATATGCCAAAAAAAAAAAAAAGACTGATCAACTGGAATACTAAACGTCAATTTGAAGAGTCAAATGACCAGTACAAATGAACATTATGTAACAACTTTCTTAAAAACTCATGGATATTAGATCACAATGAATTAACTTTACATTTCCGTTTTTAACTTAACAAGGTTGCATGTAGTTTTAAATCTTTTACTTAAATGTGTGTCTTTATGTTAATCAAGTTATCTGTGGACACTGGATTTGAGACTGAATGGTTATCACTTATCAAATAACATAATTTATAATGCAGGATGGTTACAATCATATATGTGTATTTCTTCCTAATTTCTATACTGAGTTGATTCTCTCAAAACTAGAAATCAACAGAATAAATAGTTACTTAAAAAGTAATGTAATATGTTGCTCAATTTCGTGAATTAGTTGAAGTTAGAGGTTAACCCCATTGGATGCCGGGTTCGAATCTCGTAGAGGGCGAGGTTGTGGGTGCGCACTGTCGAGGAGTCCCGCAATAGGACGAAACAGCCGTTCAATGCTTACAGGTTTTCCATGATGATCTAACTTCAACTGACTGATGATCTTAACCATTGAAATTACTATAATATCCACAAAACCCATTTGATATTAATGTACAATAGTTTATGAAATCAGTTAGCATTATATCTTGTATACATAATCACTTACAGTTATACAATATACTCTTTTGAACCAGAGTAGTTTTACATTGGTTTTCAGGAGAGCCAGACACCATTTAGGCTTTAACGCTACAATCCGAACAGTAAAGCTCAATCCTGTGGTGTAACCACACAGGTACCCAGCACTCTGATGGACCACTTTTTCACTGTGTTAAGACTTACAGCTAAATACACAAGTGGATATACTTGTTTTTGACAAAACAGTTACTAAAATTGGAGTGATATAGAGAGAAATGGCATTGTCTTTATAGAATGATTATGTACAAAATCGTGATGAATTGTACTTTTTTTTCACAGTCAAGTGAATATACAATGAAAACTTTATTATGGTAATTTTTTTGATTATCCCTTTTTCTCTGTTGTTGTTTTCTTTTCTTCAGTTGGGTATGATTATGAATACCTTGTAGCAACAGTAAAGTCACTCCTTGCTGTACCATTTGTTTGCAACTATGAGCTCTCATTCATCGTATTAAGGAAAGATTGAGTTCTAACATATGCGGCTTTCGAGACAACTATCATTCTAAAACACTGATGATTTCGTAACTATACCGCCTTTTTTTTGGGAAGTTATATTCTTCGTACACGTACTATAGATAACCCTGCGTTGATAGGACTGATAATTATTTTGATGTATACTCCAATGACGACTCTGTACTCCAAAATGAGATTGGCTATGACTGAACCTATATCATATTTCTCACATTATTAAAAACTTTCGTTACAAATGTTCAATCAAAATAGTTCATTAATCATGTCTTCTTTTTATACAACCCTACTGAAGACTATCAATTGGCGTTCATCCTCTCATTATTTATGGATACATGAAAGGTCAATTTAATTTTGAGTTTACAAGATTTTCTATCTGTCTATTTTGCAATGTATTCTTGAATATTTAATTTACCTGATAGTATTGTACAATTAGAGTAGCAACGCTTGTTTACAACTGAAATAAGGAAACGTGAGATGGTGAATGAAGAATGTTGTTTTCAAAAATCTTTCCCTAGATTCTACAGTTACTGGTGAGCGGCCTATGCTCCTTCACGAGGAGTAACAGGCGTAAGTAAGTAAGTAAGTAAGTGATTACAAATTGAATGCATCTATCCCATAAAACAAATTGTGACAAAATGGTTATATTGAGGTAGTTTGCATATGATGTACATAGGCTAGCAGACTGATGAAGACCCAGTTTAGATTATTAATAATACTAAAATTCAAACATATACTAATAATGGTATAGACATCATACCTATTGAACGAGGTAACGGTTATTCGAATTCACTAGCTTAGTGGATAACGCTACTGTAGTTTCAAGTAAAAGTCACTGTGATTGAGTTCTAATGTGAAAATGCAACTGATAGGTCTCTAAAAGAAGAAACATGTGTCCTGGATTCCATCTATTCTAGAAAATAATGCTAAATTAAAGATAGATACCCCCTGAAATTCATAAATAAATGGAAAATCCATGGTACAGTGAGACCTACAGTAGCCTCGGTGAAAAAAAAAGCCTGTCTACATCACCTTACCATTCAGAGGTGATTCAAATAATCTGTTATTGAAACAAAGACTTAAATCAGTCATCAATAAAACGTATTGCACAACAAAGGTCATTATCAAAGAAAGAACAAGGTGCATATTTCATCCAAAAACCTAGAACACATGAAAACGATTGTGTCACACCCCCACTGGGTTTACTAATTTCAATGTGTGTGTGGTCACACATACATAGGGAGGAGCAATCGTGATCTGAATATTAGGATGAGTGAACATGTACCCAAATGGCTGCAAAAACAAATACAATCAACTGACCCAATAAGAGCAGAGGATAAACATCCATCATCCTCTATTGCTAAACATATAATTGAAACGGGTCATTAGATTGATCTTAACTCAGCTTTTGTGGTGTTGTGTAAAAAAGTGTAAAAGGGCGTATACTAAGGTTTATTGAAGCCTTAACCATACGAAAATTCAAACCCCCTTTGTATATTCAAATACAGTTTTTTGTTCTTACCTTAAACCTACCCTGGTAATATTGACTTATTATCCAGAGTGATTAGGTTTTGAATTGTGTTCAGATTATTATTATTATTACTCTTATTATTATTATTATCCTTATCTCCTCTTACCCCATTTCCAGTCTAGTTAACTTTTTATTTTTATATATTAAACATGTGTGATCAGATTGTTTGAAATGTATTGCGCTAATCTGTCATCATATAGTTCTGATCGTCTTCGTCTTCTTATCTTACATTATCGAAATTTATAAAAGCGACTAATTGCTTTAATTAGATATTATAGTAATTTCATAAGTCAATTGATGTTAGACCATCATGGAAAACTTGGAAGTACTGGACGGTTGTTTCGTCCTATTGTGAGACTCCTCAGTAAAAATTTATTAGCTTTCATTATTGACGAAATGGTTACACAATGCTTGATTTGGATTGTGAATGAAATATTAGCATATTTTATTGAACACTTTTTTCTAAATTAAAAAAGAAAAACACAGTAACAACAATAAAGTTCTGTTATGTTACGTCCCTCTTTGTAAACAAACAAACAAACAAACAAACAAACCAATAGACAAACAGACAAACAAACCATTCTGAGTATTTCCCATATAATCTCTAAGACACATAATTCACTTACCCCTTATCACATATTTTTGGTTTTTTTTTATCCATTCCATGATGGACTATTTTGATTGGTTAATTCAATTAAATTAATCTTTACTATACTCATAGCATAGGTGAATGAAGCTAGACATATAAAAATACACACACACACACACCTGTCTTTAATTAATATCACCCTTATACCAAAAAAAAAGAAGAAAAAAAAGTAAGAAAAAGCAAGGCGTTGCACCAATAATACAAATTTATACTCTAATAATCATTTAAGTAACTATGCCTAATGGTCGTCTATGTTATTTATTTATTATAGTAACAAAGTAGTAGCCCAGTGGGCGTATACTTTCCACATTTTTAACCTTTTATTACTTGAATAATTCCCTTTTTCGTTAAACACATTAAAAGTTGAATAGTGTATTGGATATTAATATTGAAATGGATTTATGTCATATACTTGAATGAATCAAATCAAATCAAATTAAATCAAATGACAAATACAACAAATATGCTTCCACCTAAAACTCCTCAATGCTCTATTTCATCAAATTCACATCATTCTAATATTACATATCATACAGAGAATTCTTTACCACATGATCATAATCATGATCATGATGATGATGATGATGATCCTTCTGTTATTTTAGATAATAATACTTGTTTAAATGCTAATCTTAATGAAGATTCAATGATGATTTTATCACAATCAATTGATTCTATACATACAGTTGGTACTAATAATGGTGAAGGAACAGAGGTAAATATTTCATTATAATGTATAAATTTATTTATTTATTTATTTATGAAAGCTAAGATTAAGTAGTAATTTCAAATGTTTCCCAACTAGAATATAAATAAACAATTGAGATGTTGAATTAAGTCATTTCTCAGTCGAAAAAAAGATGGGTACAAGTTGTCTTCTCGTGGAGGGGGTGTTATTTACGAAAATGAGAGGATGAAAAGCGAATATCCGGTGCTTTAACCGGATCTAAAACCAATGGCTCACATAGGCTGGCTGCAGTATCCTGAAGGAACAAATGGCGTATGAACCAATCGTTGATCACTAGCCAACATGGGACTACATCTCCTTACGATGCTCCACTGCATTGTGGGTCAGATCTTCAGGTCGAAGGTTCGGGGTGTGGCCCCTCAAGAAAACCACCTGCTTCGGTCTGGGCACCCGGTCAGTATTAAAGCCCTCACACACATCAAATGAGATCTGTGTGGCGCATATGTATTTGGTGCCTCCTTGTACCAATATCTATGTGTTAAAATAAATAAATAAATAGATAATGTCTTTGTTATGAGTAAAACAGTTAAGTAGATACTTAGTAAGTGTCAATAGTCTGAAACCAATTCCTTTTTTTTTTTAACTATGCCACATTTCTGTAAGTGAATAACGACTGGAATAGAGGTGTTAACTTTGACTCGTGACAGTCAACAAACATGATAATTTCAAACTGTAATTAACTGAGCTATACCTGATTGATGGGAAACGATTCAAGTGTAGTGAAGTTTGCCCATTGTCAGAAAACGTTTACATACAGTATAACTATACTTAAGTGTTGAACGTTTTAGTCAATAGAGAAAGAAGCGGCATAAAACAAAAGTATTTTGTTAGAGAATTAATAAAACATGTAAGATTATGGTTCTTTTAGAATATTTACCAGTTTTTTTTCAATCCTTATTATTGAATATCCAATCTTATTGTTTGAGCACTGTCTCTAAATAGTCTGACATATCTGAGTGTGAATACATGAACGCTGAAGATATATTCTTGGGTCGTCCTCACAGCTATAAATAGTTTTACCACCTACAAATTTACTGAAGAACTAATGATATTAAGTTTGGGCACCCGGGCAGTATCACAGCCCTCACATATATCAAATGAGATTTGTGTGGCGCATATGTATTTGGTGCCTTCTTGTACCGATATCTATGTGTTAAAATAAATAAAATAAATAAGACAATGATGTACAGAAACATTCCTACTCCATGAACTGGTCTATTCTTCAGTGAACCATTGATAAAGTGTTTCGTGAAAACAAAGTAAATCGAAACAAAACATCCTTGACTTAAATGTTATCTACAATGTGGGTAGTAAGAAGTAAACATTTGATGTGTTTTACAGTCATTTTTTTTAATTTTATGACAGCCAAAACAAATTTACCTCACGAGTTATAATCATTCTTAACAGTGTATAACTGCATTCTTACAAGGCTTTACATGTGGTTTAAAATGAGAGTTATCCATTTCCGTATTTCGCTCAAAACGGAAATCGTCATATAGATTATGATTAGTTCGAGTTTACAGTATAATAACTCCAGAATCATCGCCTTTTTTCATCGGTCTTTTTTAGATAGCAATTGTTCCATATATTTATATATCACCATCGTAAACTTAAGTTTGCTACAAAGCCAATCCAACCCAGGCTATATAATTTTGTCTCAAACTTCATTCTTTAACATCATTTTCGCGTCACATCTTCGTGTTAAGGTGTTCGACTTTCGGCTACTAGTCTGTAGGTTTAATCCTCGCCCTACGTAATTTTATAGTATTACCAACTCCCACATAGTTTGACTCGGAGCTAAGTACGCGAATGTGTACCTGGAACATGACTCAATAAGTGGTCAATAATCATATCAACTCTTTGTTTGTTCTCCCTTATTCTAAATGTTCTATGGACTTAAAATATACTATTGCATCAGAATTTATATTTTAATCGATAAGAATTTGTTCCAACACTAAGTCATTATCAGTATAATGTTTATGAGATTGTTGAGTTGAATTGAGATCGTGAATCGATCAATGGTAGACAATCATTGAAAACCGTAAAGCTTTAGATGGCCATTTCGTCCTAGTATGGAACTCTTCAGGAGTGCGCATCCACGAACACGTAATATCGTGGATTGGTCAGAGCTGGACATTAACAGCGCTGGATCCTGCCCTAGTAGTTTAGAGGCTAAGCGTCCATGCGAGCCTAAAGGTCCTGGGTTTGAGTCTCTCGCGCGAGATCGTGAATGCGCACTTCTGAGGAGTCCCATACTAGGACGAAAGGGCCGTCCAGTTCTTCAAGGTTTTTAGTGGCGGTCTACCATTAGTCGGTTGAGAATCTAAATTTAAACATTAAATCATTTATAATGACATCGCAAGAGAGTAGAAAATGAAAATATATGGTATGTTGACTCCATTTTTCTACAAAACTTTAAAGAAAATGGATAGTTTTAGATTAGTCAAATTTTGTGGTGTTAGTTACATAGTGTGTATTCGCAGAGTTTTATTCTCACGTACTCTTGAATGTTCATCGACATAGGAACCGGATTCATAAAATCGGTTAATAACGCTATTCCCATGTGGTAGATTTATTTATTATTTATTTATTTTAAAACATAGGTATAGGTAAAGGGAGGCACCAAGTACATATGTGCCACACGAATCTCAATTGATTTGTGTGAGGGCTGTGATACTGACCGGGTGCCCAAACCGAAGCAGGTGGTTTACTTAGGGGGCCACACCCCGAGCCTTCGACCTGAACGTCTGACCCACAAGGCAGTGGAGCATCGTGAGGAGATGTAGTCCCATGTTGGCTGGTGACCAACGATTGGTTCATACGTCATTTGTTCCTTCAGTATACTGGAGCCACCCCATGTGCACCATTCGTTCGCTTTTCGTCCTCTCATTTTCATAAACAACACCCCCGCCACGTGAAGGGCAGTGAGTAGGACTTCCCTGGTAGAGGCTATATACGCATGGCCATGTGAGAGCATTTGGAGAAGGAGAGCGGACTCTTCCCACTCTCGGCCATACCAAGGCATTTGGGGGAAAATCTTAATATAATATTGCATCAAAATTTAAAATAACTGAAATTCATTTAGTTTGTCCATTAAGTAATAAAGTACTTAGTATCACAATTATATAGACTATCTATGGTATTATTTCATACTTGTGACTATGGTAACCATTCTTTCATATCTATGGTTACTTTGACAATCAACCAACACAGTTCACTTTTGTTTCCCATTTTTTTTTGTGTGTGTATGGAGAACTGGAGTGTAACTATAGTGATAGTGAAAAAATAAAAATAAAATGAAAGAGTTACATATTGAATATTAAAAACTTGATGATGTATAACACTATAATGTAAGTGAATTTTATTTATTTAAAGTAACGGATTTTCCATCATACAATGAAATGAATAACTCATTTAAACATCCCTTGTATATATAAACACACAACACCACTATCTATATATGTATATGTTTATGCCTAGTGTCTTAGACATTCTCAATCGAAATATTGTTACACATATTCATAAGTAATGCATAAATTAACATGATGATTATGTAATAAATACTATTAGTCTTATTTTATTTTATGCATATCATTAATAACATACAATAGATATTGATAGATATGCATCATGGAACAATGTTTATACTAGAACAATGTAACATTATATACTATTGTTTAACTTGACTTTTCTTTTCAGATCTCATTTGAATATAAAACAAACTGTTCAATGCCTCTTTAATATTAAATTTGTCCTCATTTTTACAATGATTCTATAGTTGTTCATGTAAAATGCTAATTTGTTGTTGTTGTTCTTGTTGTTGTTGTTGTTGTTGTTGTTAAGACTATCAAACATCAATTGTAGTGTTCAGTTCAATTCATTTACATAATGAATTTACAATAAATGGCTTTATCAATTAAAAAATTTAGTTCAAATGGTTCGACACCTGAAATTGAACTTTATAGGTTATCTTAAAATAATATGTATCATTTAGTCGAATTCAACTATCCAGTACAGCCCTATGATAATAATCGGTTTGTTAAGTTAAAAATACCTAGAGAAGAGTTTTGTACCAACAAGCAAGTAGTTGAAAGTTTAATGCCTTAACTAATAAATTACTTATTCAACCATGTTATCTAGGTCATCAGTAAAATGTGACTAACGAAAATTTCGTATGAGAACAGTTACAATTGTAAGATGATATAGAAGTGCAAATTGGTTACACAATAGGTTGCTATGGATATTCAAGGTGATAAAATAAATAATAAATTATCAAACTATTGAATTTACTCCATGCATTATCTCTATGTCACTGTAGTGAACAAGAACACTAATGGGGATAATCGAATTACAGAACTAGTTAGTAAAATCTAACAACCATATAGTAAATCATTCATTTGCAAATTATCAATCCATCATATCAAACTGAACTGTTTCTGTTGTAAACATCAATCGATTGTCTGATATTTCATGATTCATGCATTTTCATACAAGTTACATTCTATCTTCATTCTTTACTGTTCGATCTTCTCGTCTCTTAACTGCCAGACATTCTGTTCACAACTCACGTCATATACTACTTATGTCTACATAAATAGCACACACCACATCACGGTTAATAAAACTGCTCGTTTTTAAACGGTTCGTTAAAATGTCATTTTTCATTATTGCAGCAGTAGTTAGGATGTTTGATTGTCAGTCCTTTAGTTATGCAATTGGAATGTCGCTATATCTTGTTCGGTTTGACCGACCGGGTTTGTATCATAGGCCTTTACATTTGGAGTGTGACTAAAAGGCATTTACACGAATCCATATCTAATAAATACGTTTATAATCATGTTTTAGATGGCGTTTTTATGTGCAAAATGAAATGTTATATTCTAGTATTTTAAAGGCAAAATTAGAAGTTTATGTATAAGAGGTTATAATGCTTTACTGTTTTAAATATTATTACTATGTACCGATAAGCATAATGAATGGTAACTGTTGGGATCCATTTATGGACCAATACTAAACGTATATTTTTATCGTATCATTGTTAAGCAACTAAACTATTCATATTTATGTCCTTCTTATTATGAGCTTTATTTTGATCTATGAACTATTATTCTGCGACTTACCATTCTTGAATTATGCCCTCTCTATTAGTCACTGCCTCCCATATCCACAGCCACATTTAGCTAATACATGTACAAATGTCGTTTTCTAGTTCATGCTACGATGTGGTCTGTCTGGTTGGTATATAAACCGAGTATGTTTGAAATAAATGATTCATATCACAGAGGCTGAGATTGGAGTTCTGGACTTAACTGGCTCGGCTAGGCGGAGAGCAGGATCAATAAGGGCTCTAGGCTGCTCGTACGGGTTTTACGCGTCATTGATTCGATCGATAAGTCACTGCCCTTTAATCGGTGGGCCTTTGAGATATAACAATTATGCAATGGTTTGCTCATATAAGTAACAAAATGGACAAACGAACATTACAAAGAGTAGAACATATTTGAGTAAATTTGACGCTTAAATTTTATTTTCCATATCTTAGAAAATTCTTGTTTCTCATAGTAACAGATTATGTGATCTGCAATCAATAATGGTGAATTAACTTATGTGATATTTTTATCAATAACTTTTTGGAAATCTTAAATTTGAGTTGTATCTGCTCAGTGAGTTGTTCTTAATATGTCAATTTACGAATCATTGAATTCATGAGCCAACAACATATTTTATACTGAAATGGAATTGAATAACATCTTCACTGGTTTAATGTTTACTTAACTAACTTGGTAATTGATACTAGAAACTGCGAATCAAACGAGTCTAGAAAGTGCATAGCCCCCAAATGCCCTGGTATAGTCGAGAATGGGGAGAGTCCGCTCTCCTTCTCCAAATGCTCTCACATGGCCATGCGTATATAGCCTCTGCCAGGGAAGTCCTACTCACTGCCTTCTCGCACCACGGGTGTTGTTTATGAAAATGAGAGGACGAAAAGCGAACGAATGGTGCACATGGGATGGCTCCAGTATCCTGAAGGAACAAATGACGTATGAACCAATCGTTTGTCAGCGGCTAACATAGGACTTAATCTCCTTACGATGCTCCACTGCATTGTGGATCAGACCTTTAGGTCGAAGGCTCGGGGTGTGGCTCCCTAAGAAAACCACCTGGTTCGGTTTGGGCACCCGGGCCGTATCCCAGCCCTCACACATATCAAATGAGATCTGTGTGGTGCATATATATTTGGTGCCTCCATGTACCCATATCTATGTGTTAATATAAAACATAAAAAGAAAGTGCATAAAGATACTAGATAAGAATTTAGTTGATCTTTAAACATCAATATACTACTTTGTGCATGATTTATTTACAATCAGATTTATATAATCTGAATTAACTAATGTTTAATTAATCAGTAACTTTCTATGTAGACACGTATTTACACTTATACAATTAAGTATCTATAACTAACAGATATAATCCACTTCAAGATGTAGTTCCATAACACAGATAATTGAGAATAATCATTATCATGTATCATACTCACTCCAATCGATGAAGTCACTGCTCACTATACCAACTGAATGAATTGCTTCTAATTGATTGACAGTTATTTATATATATTCAATTGTCTATTTAATGATGTTTACATTGAAAATTCATTCGTCATCCATTCGATAATAGACTTTTCCACGAGTTAGTCATTCTTTTATCAAAGAAATTCTTCCCAAAATATTCCTTACTAAGTAGCGTAGAACTGTATAAGATATCATAGTAATAAGAACAAGTGAATATAGGAATGATGGTAATTTAAGTGTTTATTTTTCTCATGATATGCTCAAGCCCCAAAAATGCCCTGGTACAGCTGAGGGTGGGGAAAGTCCGTTCTCTCTCTCTCTCTCTCGCCAAATACTCTCACATGGCTACGTTCATACAACCACTGCCTTCTCGCGATATTGCTGCTGTTTACGAAAATGAGTGGACGAAAAGCGAATGTTCGACGCTTTAACCGGATCCCAAACCAATGGTGCACATGGGTCACTGGCTACCATGGGAATGTATCTCCTCACGATGCTCCACTGCCTTATAGGTCAGACTTTTAGGTGAAAGGCTCGGTATTTGATCCCCTAAGAAAACCACCTGCTTCGGTTTGGGCATCCGGGCAATATCACAGCCCATACACAAATATGATGAAATGTCGATATTTATGAAAAATACTTTTCTTGCTTCGATTAATAATCAAACGATTCATATTTGTGTAGCGCATATATGTATTTGCTGCCCCCTTGTATCAGTATTTATGTGTTCAAATAAATAATAAATAAATAAAGTACTGGAAGTGATCAAACTGTTTTAGAATATGTACGTCCTGGGTGGATTGCCTCGATAATGCCATTAAGTCAGTCACATCCAGCTGACAAGTTTGAAGTAGAGCAATACATGCATCTTGAATTCTGCTGCCTAGCTACAATCGAAATCGTTTAAAAAGCTTCTTACCAAAATACCTATTTAACTTTATCAACAACCAACTTAATTGTATGAATGAAATAGACATAAAATTGAGAAACAATAAAAATAATAGTTTCTTGGTAATTTTTTGTTGTTGAGAATAAGGTAACCTAATTTAGGCAATTATTGTTACAATTGGTATTGTGTGAAATCTTTGCTTGATTAGGCAAGTTTTACGTTCACGTTTGCATTGAATTTTATAGTTGTTGTTGTTGTTGTTGTTAAATAATTAGCTTTAAAAGAGGCTAATTGAATAGATTATATAAGATTCTCAGTTATGGTGGTTGTGGAGATTATTAAGTTTTCGATTAAGATCATGAATCGACTAATGTTAGACCACCGTTGGAAACCTGGAAGCACTGGACGGCCTAGTATGGGACTCCTCAGCAGTGCGCATCCACGATTCGAACCCAGGGCCTTCAGTCTCGCGCACGAACACTTAACCTACTGGACCACTGAGCCAGCATCTAATGGTGTTAGTGTCTAACATATAAGATTCCTCTTATTGTTTAAGTTATAATCTAATATGATGATGTCTTAAATGTGGATTTATGATCAAGTATCAAATGACAAAGTCATTTTGAAATCACAGTTAAACATGTTGGTGATTGTGATCTACACATATGTGAATTACATAGTGTCATACTGTCTTTAAACTATAAGCTATTAAGCTCATTGCTCACATTGTACTTGCCCCCAAATGCCCTGATATGGCCGAGAGTGAGGAGAGTCCGCTCTCCCTCCGAATGCTCTCACATGGCCATGCGTATATAACCTCTGCCAGGGAAGTCCTACTCACTGCCCTTCACGTGGCGGGGGTGTTGTTTATGAAAATGAGAGGACGAAAAGCAAATATCTGGTGCTTTAACCGGATCCCAAATCAATGGTGCACATGGGGTGGCTCCAGTATCCTGAAGGAACAAATAGCGTATGAACCAATCGTTGGTCACTGGCTACCATGGGACTGCATCTCCTCACGATGCTCCACTGCATTGTGGATCAGACCTTTAGGTCGAAGGCTCGGGGTGTGGCCCCCTAAGAAAACCACCTGGTTCGGTTTGGGCACCCGGTCAGTATCACAGCCCTCACACATATCAAATCATATTTGTATGGCGCATATGTATTTGGTGTGTAGTTCACCAGCGTGGATGATCTATGTCGAAATGATTGGAGGCTTACTCGAGTTAGACGTGAGTGGTGTGACAAACTAGCTAACGTCGAAGTCACACTTCGCGGTCTGCACCTTACATAGATTACCCCATTGACGTATCAAGGTACTATAGATGCTTTGAAGACTGTACAACACAAAGGACATTATTACAGAAATATATTAGTTAAAGTAGATACAAGCGAAGGTAAGACTACTGCCGCATGGGCCAGTCCATGGTGTACGATTAACTGATGCGCGTTGGCTGTCCTTGACCTCGACGAGGATCGACGACTTGTTTGATATTCAATGACCTAACTACCGGATGATTTGGCTAGCGCTCAGTGGAATTTCGCTGGCCCTACAGGTGCCTCCTTGTACCAATACCTATGTGTTAAAATGAAAATAATAAATCACATTGTACTTAATATTGAATAATTGAGTAATTATTTAACAAAAATTTGTTTATTTTCTGATTACTTCTTATTAGCATCAAGTTCGTACATTGTTCGTTAGTGGTTTACCTTTGGATGCTAAACCAAGAGAACTCTACTTGTTGTTTCGAAGCTTCAAAGTAAGCAGTCATTTTTCTTTTCTTTTTTTTTCGGTCACTTACTAGTATTATTTATTTATTTAGGGTTTAACACTGAATTTTCTATGAAGTTGAGTCATTGCATGTTAAGTTCATTATCCTGGTACTTTTCCCGCAACTTCTCATAAATAATTTAAATTCCGAATTTTTTTCATACAGGATGATTGACTCGTTAACTTGTAGACAACGATTGATAATAGTCCAATTTCTCAATGGTGATAACCAAAGAATGAATACACTTGATATTGTTTTACTTGAATCTTCCCATTGATGCTTAGGACTGCAATTGATCAGTCTCTCATATTGGCATATATGTGCATACTGTGCGTATTGCCTCGATATTGCCTTCATTTACAAGGATTATAAGCAATGATGGATAGTGGCTAGCAGTGGAATCCAGTTTGACTCGCGTTTCGTACTATTTGGATTCCACTGCTAGCCACTATCTATCTTTGCTCACAAAGAATTAATAGTTTGTTTCTCTAATTACATTTCTTTACTATCATAAACTCTGAAAAGTTCAGGCATATAATACATATCAGGTGGTTGAAGGTAATTGGCAAGCAACTATATACCTAAGTTTTTATGTTAGTTGGCACTGCTCAACATGGTATATCTTTTACCTTGAAGGAACTGATCTATATAATTTGGTTACTATTCAAGTATGATGTCCGTCACTACTTAATAATCAATCAAATATAAATATTTCGATCTTATAGGAAGTAAACCATCGACTAAATAGCCCAGTGGTAATGTCTTGGACTATGAAGCTGGATGATGTACGTTTGAACCACCTAAGGGAACACTAGTTCTCTCAAGACTACACAGTTTGATGACGAGTACCGACTCAGTAATTAGTCGACTGTATATAACGTTCATCTTTTCTAATCACGTACGATTATGATGGACAAACATTTAAGCTCTTTCTTAGTGATTCAGACCATGTACCTATTAATAAGCTTTATAATGATTAACTACTAAATTTTATAACAAAAACTTACTTTACCTTACTAAGTACTAAGTGTAATTGATAGATATCTAATATCTTTTAGAAATTACACTGGGGAAAGAAGCACAATTATCATAATTACATATAGATTTCAATGGTTAAGATCATGAGTCAGTTGAAGTTAGACCACCATGGAAAACCTGGGAGCACTGAAAGGCCGTTTCGTCCTATTGCGGGACTCCTCGGTGGCAGTGTGCACCCACAACCTCGCCCCCTACGTGGTTTGAGCCCAGGACCTACTGGTTTCGCGTACAAGCATTTAACCACTAGACCACTGGACTGGCCGACATCTAACAATGTTAATATCTAACTTCAAGTAATCCACGAAATTGAGTGACACATCCACCGTTGTCTTGATTGAATTACTATCTCACAACACACCTGGTTTAACTTCACTGGATGCCGGCCCTGTGGTCTAGTGGTTAAATGCTTGCGCATGAAACCAATAGGTCCCGGGTTCGAATCTCGCAGGGGGGCGGGATCGTGGATGCGCACTGCCACCGAGGAGTCCCATGATAGGACGAAACAGCCGTCCAGTGCTTCCAGGTTTTTCATGGTGGTGATCTAGCTTCAACTGACTCATGATCTTAACCATTGAAATTACTACAATCTCCACAAAAAACCCCTTCTGATAATTACCTATGAATTAAGTAGAAAGTTAATCTTCTTTGTAACATATACGTATATGCATACATATAATATGAATCTAGGAATACAAATGAAAATTACTTCAAATTAATCAATTTTTTTATATTAGTACAACAAATATCAATATATCTTGTGATACAGTACAATTCTTTGATTATATGAGGTCAAGGTAATTAATAATCAGCTTATTCAATAAAAAAATCATATACACCAGATTGTCTACTTATACATTTGTGCATATGTATATGGGTGTGTGTGGGTGTGTACACTCCGGTGCGTGTTTATCAATGTATGTGCATCTAATTATAGAAAGTTAATAAAATATAATATCGTACAGAAATAGATGAGTAGTACGTCAGTTACTTACTTACTTACTTACTTACGCCTGTTACTCCCAATGAAGCATAGGCCGCCGACCAGCATTCTCCAACCCACTCTGTCCTGGGCCTTCTTTTCTAGTTCCATCCAATTCTTGTTCATTTTTCTCATATCTATCTCCATTTCTCGGCGTAATGTATTCTTTGGTCTTCCTCTCCTCCTCCTTCGGCCTTAAGGATTCCATGTGAGGACTTGTCTTGTGACGCCTGGAGTCCCTTTCGGGGGTCTACTGCCGGTCCCAAGCTCGGATAAAGGAGGAGGGTTGGGCATGGGGTTAGCGATCCCATCCCGTAGAAAACTAACTAGCTAAAAAAACGCTAACCAGAAAAAATTATTCAAACCATTTAAACTCTGCCCTGGGCGTCAGGAGGTCTTCGTTTAGAAGAATTATGACGCCTCATGATGAAAGCCGAGTTTCTTCGGAAGTCATGAGGCCGATGCCCCTTCTGACAACCAGAGCAACCATTTATTTAGGTACATGGAATGCTCGCACAATGTGGGAGACTGGGAGAGTTTTCCACATTGCTGCAGGAATGAGGAGATACAATTTATAGAGTACGTCAGTAGTGATGGGTAATTATGCAGTTACAATAACAACAGCAACAATGATTATTACCACTGTGACCATTGGAATGCAGTCTGTGTTGGGTGGAGACAGTTATCCACTTTAGACAATGGATGAAGGGTCATGCAAGATTAAGAATTGATTGAAGTTAGATAATTAATACCGTTGGATGCTGGTTCAGTGATCTAGAGGTTAAGCGTTCGTGTGAGAGACCGAAGGTTTTGAATTAGATTGCTGCGTGCGGGATCGTGGATGTGCCCTGTTGAGGAGTCTCATTTTGGGACAAAAACAACCATCCAGTGATTCCAGATTCCCACTATTGGTCTAGATTAGATCGATTCGTGAATTCGACCTTTAAAATTACTACAATCTTCACAAATCCCCATTCTGGTTTTTACTATTACTGCTACAATGAGTCCTAGCAATACTCATTCTACTCACTTAGTTATTACATGTAATGTACTTTTCATTGTATTAGAGCTATCACAACAGTTTTTGTGTTTCAACCTTGTTATGACTCTCTTTTTTCTTTAAACTATTGTGTGATTCTATGTGAAAGTTGGATAGTGCTTCGAACTGAAATCCAGACCACACGTTTCGTCCTTCTTGAGACTCATCAGCTAGGTGAGCTTTCATCTCGATGGTAACGTTCACCCTGCAACTCGAACGCAAAACAGTAATTTGAAAAAAAGTACCGATAATAATGAAATACAAGTGCAGAAAAACAACAACGACAAAAAAGACACAGAAACATACCCATTAAGAAGAGAATTAGGGCTAAGGAAGGATGAAAGGTTGAACAAATAGTTTCTGTACGCAAAGTTCAGGCTCGAGTTTATGGATTGTCCATGTCCATGTCCATGGACGATCTTTGAACGAATCTTAAGTGGCCTTGAGGAATATCAGTCAATCAGCAAACAGTCAGTATGGAGTAAAAATATATTCTATAAAACCAAAGAAATAAAGTGGATACACTTCTTTTTCATGATTCAAAAACTTCTCAAGCTTAGGAAGAGGTTCAGAGGTTCTAAAATCGTAATGCATGCAATAGAGTAAATCATCCATACGGCTACAGAATAGTCGGCCTCTGGAGCCATGATAAAGTCTCAAAAACTCTTTCAGCCTCGACCACATAGTTTCAATATTGTTTATGTGCACTCCGATTGTTGAGTACACAAAATGCTACTTGTGGATAACGACACGATGCACATAACCAAGCCTATGTAGGAGTCTGTATGCTTTCCAAACATCCTTATATGTTGTAGTACCTGACTGCAGCCAGTGTTACTGTTACCTTTATTATCCAGTTCACAATAGCTGTCATAGTTTGCCTTAGTTAGGAATTAAACAAGTGATTTTCATCACGAACTAACATCATCTATAATGTCAGAAATTATAGTCTCTCCGTTTTATTTGTTATAGGCGCTCAATTATCACGTTTTGTACAAAATTCTATGTGAACCGATCGTACGTTAGCATTAAGCATTGAAGTTGGCGCCGTAATCTTGTAATCTCTAAAACGCTTCTGATTGGCTCGTCCATAAATTAAAGTCTTGTCAAGATGTGATAAATTAATCGAACTTCTTCCTTTAAAAAACAATTTAAAATAGATTCAACACGTTTTTTTGTTCTGTGAAATTGAATTTCACTAGTGACTGACTTCAAGAGATACTCCTGAAGTTCTAGTGAGAAGCCGTTACCAGTGGAGTTCAACCAGGTCTGTTGTGAGATATCAGCTCACTGAAGACAATGGTGTACGGTGGCGCAACTTCGTGGATTGGTTGAAGTTAGACATTAATACCGTTGGATGCCGGCCAGCTCAGTGGTCTAGTTAGTTAAGCACCTGGCGCGAGACTGATAGATCCTGGGTTCAAATCTTCCGAGGAGCGGGATCGTGGGTGCACACTGCTGAGGAGTCCCATAGTGGGACGAAACGGCCGTCCAGTGCTTCCAGGTTTTCCATGCTGATCTAGCTTCAATTGATTCATGATTTCAACCAGTAAATGAAAAATAGTCATCACAAAACATTAAAAATCATTACGTAATAAGAAGTGTGTAAATAATTAGATAGTGAAGAATACAAACGGAAAGAGGCGGATAATTTTAAACAAATAATGGATTGGTTGGTAGATGTTCACTCATTCGTTGGTTAAGTTGCCTGGTAGTACGCCCGATATAGTTATCTTCACAAGAGCAACTGAATTTGTAAATGCATATTGAGGAGGCCAACTCAGGTTACTTATCCTTCGTTTGTGTAGACATCACTGGTCGATAAGAGAAAGTCAACGTAAGATTGGCTGTGTAGAATGTTCTGCAGATTACTTTCGTTAACCTATATTTCAGAGTATCACTAGCCACATCCCCGTTGAATTGTAGTTTCAT